TTTCTTTCTCTTTCTTTCTGCTTCTTCTTGCTTCATAGCCTTTATTTCAAGCAGAAAGTAAATGCAATAATATTTGAGTTGACATGGAAGTTTTGTACTCCAGAAACCAAAAATCAGAGAAAATGCACTCGCCTACTCCCATTCCTTCCAGTTTGCTGGTCTGTTTTGGTTGTCTGTCCTGGTCCTGTGTCATCTTGATGACCTCCTTTGTAATATCAGTGAAGAAATCAAAACACTGAGTCAAAGAGGCTGAGCTTTAACTCCACTGTGAGCAGGAGTGCTCTCATAGGAGATAGCAGATAAGGTGACTAGCAGTGGTGTGATTTTGGGTGTTCTGTTGCATGGCTATGGCCCCCAGCATTTGCAGCACCTGCTATCTGGGCAAGGCTTCAGCTCCTGCTGAGTTTACTTCAGCAACTTACTTTGTGAAAGAGAAATATACAGGTGATCCTGGATTGATGGCTAGCAAGGCCTGTGGGACTGCAGCAGGCCTTTGTGAAACTTCAGTACTACTCTGCCTTTGTGGATGAATTTACACTGGGATTTCTGCTGTTATTGACCTCTATGATTTATCAAGGCTAAACATTTACATTACTAGAATCACATGAGATTCTAGTAATAAGAGAAGCCCCAGTATTGTCCATTAGCTAAAATCTTGAATTAGATAGATACTTACACTATGGTGGCCAAATCTTTTAATATGGAAAGGTAGATCTTTCAAGAAATGAAGCAATGCTTCTCCTTCAGACAGTGATGGAGTAATAGCCTAGTAAGTTTTTACAGGGTGGAGAGACTGAAAACAGAGGAAATATTCTTAGCTTCTTTTGCAAGTATGAGAAAGCAGAGCCCAACTGCTTTCTAAGACTTTTTTTAAATGTAGAAGCTGAAAAAGCATTGCTTCTCCATAAAAACACTTAAAAGTCAGGTTTCAGCTGCTGTAAGACTAGTTTGAAATCCATGTTATGTAAAATGAGTAAATGCAGGTTTTTTTACACCTTTTAATGTTTTAGGATTCAGTTTTTAGTTTTTATACAGCTGTCTGATTAGAACAATTGTTTTTATTATTAATAGAAGTAAATTTTGCATTGTATTCTTATTTGAGAATCTTGAACTTTTAGAAAATTTTCAGTAGTATCAGCCTTAGCATCATGTCTCAAAAGGACTCTTAATGTAGTCCTGGCTATATTGGTCCCTTGAAAAAAATCAGTATGGTAATAGAGTATATTACTAATAATCAGTAATGGTAATAGAGTTTCAAACATAGATATGTGTGATGCAAGTTAGTGTGAATCAACTTATCTATGATTACCCTGGGGAGGCAATCCATTGCTAACTACCTGGGGTTCTGTGAGAGGACAGAATCCCAAAATTATTTTTTTCCTTCTTTACAACAAAATGCACCCATCACCCTCTCTGAGCTATCGGTCCACCAAATCCATGTTCCACTGTATAGGCACTGCTGGACGACACCCACTTCCCACTCCACTCCTCTGCATCATCCCATTTTTTGCATTCAGTTCCTTCACCTCTTTTGGCATCCTCACCTCTTTTGGCCTCCTTTCTGAGGGAGCCATATCACAGAATTCCTTTTGAGTCTGAGGAACATTCCATAAGGTCCTAACCAAAACTCTACTCTATGACTTTCATGTGCAAGGAGCCAAAAGATAAAATGTAGTTGAGGTAGCCAGATCTCTGCTCCCCAGTGGTGTTTGTTCATTCTTTTCATAGGATAAAGGAAAGGGTTCATGTTGGACAGCTGCCAGCTGCTATTGCTCCTGGGACTTGCCTGCTGCAAGGGCCTCTCATAACAAGGGGGGTCTTGCTACTGCTCTGTGCAAAATCAGGAAGAGTTTTGTCTGCATTAAAGTAGCTAAGCCAAGTCCCATCTTAGAACATGAAGGAGGGCTACTCTTTAAATGTTGCTATTTTTCATTGTCCTTTGGTCATCAAATGGATCTACTATGGCAAAACTCTGGTTCTGGACAGAGAAAATATTGCCTTTCCTAAATCAAATGGTGTTCCCCTTAATGTATTAACAGATCTCAAGGCATGGTTTTGCAATAATACCACTTTCTTGCACAGCACACATTCTGTCCACATTAGTCATTATATTGGTACATTGTAAATGAGTTTTTAAGATCTAAAAAAAGACGTAAAATTCAACTCTTCCTTGAGGGTCCAGATAGCTGCAGTGAATTTCCAGCACCCAGATATGCTTCACTCTGATTTAGATATTTGTAGGCTCTGAACTGCAAAAAAATGCTGTGGAAGATTAAGACTTCTGTAATGCAGTTAAAATACCAGTGTAGATTGCATGGAAACTACATCATGTTACTGTATGATTTCAGAGTTGTCATGTTATCAGGTTATTAAGCATGAGTCATCTTATCAGATCTTGCCAGTCTGAATGAAGAACTTACATAATCTCTAAAATGTGATTTAGAAAACAAGAGCAGATTGTCAGCCAGGATCCTGCTGACTGAGCAGACAAGATACCCTCCAGAAAACCAGGGACATAATGATGCATTTTCTATGCTTTCTACAGCATGAGTCCCTCCCTCCCAAACTGCCATTTGCAACTTCTGTTGCAGTTCGCAAACTGAAGACACAGTGCTTCTGAGTAACTGCACAAGCAATCTTGACCTTGGCAGTCAGACAGTGGCAGACTTTATCTCACTTCTCTAAGGGGAAAGTGATCCTTTAGCCAAATGGGTCTTTCTGTCTTCCCAAGATACATTCCTGTTTGTGTGGTGACTGAGCAGCTCCATGATACCACACAAGGTTTACTCAGATGCAGTTTCTGACTGTATTAGCTCTCCCTCCTTTCCCCTTTTCACTTCCCAGATTGTCTTCTTTGCCTTGCTATGAGTATGGTGTTCCTCCTCCTGTGTTTTGGTGTTTCTTCTGTGGCAGGGTACGTTGTAAGTACGTATCTTTGAATATGAGTGGTAGAAGAAACATGGATTCCTTAGTCTTTAAGAAGAAACTGGGATTTCTTAGAAGAAACAGATATTTTGACCCCTCTTAAGCGTCATCTTTAAAAGCTTTAAAACAAATAAAATATAACAAAAAGGAAGTTTTAGATATTTGAAAGTCGTATGTTTGAAAAAGGAGGTCTTCTCCAGTGCCTAAAAGACTTGCAAATTAGGGACCTTCTTGCATGTATTATACTTCACAGATTCACTGGTCATGCAAGGAGCTTTGTGTTGCAGGTGATGCTCTGAGATCTCTGTTTGCATGTGGGCTAGAATTCAATTTATTGTAGCAGTTGTTCTCTGTGTATGCCCTCTGTCTTGAGCTACTGCAAAAACAAGCTTGAATTTTACACAATTTTGTTTCCTAATTATGTGCTTCTTCCTATTCATTCATTTCCTCCATACTTAATTTCGAAGATGTTGAAAAAATACCTAGAAATTAAAGTTTCTAGAAATTCCCATGCTGGCTCCATTCTTGACCCCACCAAAGACTCGCAGTGGGTGGGGTGGAAAAACCCAGGAGGGTGGGGAAAATCATAGGCAGAACTTGTCTATTTTATTTCCAGTTTTGGTTTCCACAGACCAACCCTTGCCTGGTGAATAGGAGTGAAGGGGCAGGGATGTGCAAGCTACAAAATCATTGAAACACAGCCTCCTCATCTCCCTTGGCAGCAGAGCAAACACAGATATCTGCAGCTAACTGGTGACAGGTGACTGAGGAGCAACTAGGTAGGCAGGTAGTGATTTGTGTTGATTTTTAGGGAAAGCATTCCCCAGGGGCAATTAGCCACTGTGTGGCTGTCTTTTTGAGCCTTGACGCAGTTCATTTTGTATCTAAAAATGCTTGTGTAGATGAGGATAAGGAATAAAATGAGGTATAACATTGCCATGGATACTTCATTTGATCTGGGACAAATGTAATGGGCTTTTCTGTTTATATGAAAACAAAAGTGAAATGAGAACAACAGGAACTCCAAGGCTTGCAGGTCACATGTGTTCACAAAGCACAGCAGAGAGAGGGTTAGGGAGGGCCTCCAAACAGACCTGCAGAAATGAAAAGAAGTTCACAGATACTTTAGCTGTCCGTGGTCACTGGAGATGACTTCTCTGTCATTAGCTGTATATAAAGAAAAACATGCAGACTTTGCTGTCATCTTGTATGTCAAATTTCTAAATAGTTTTGATGAAAATGGCAAAAGTTTTTCTTGAACTGAATCATGATTTAGATGTTGGAAAATGGACAGTAGGATAAAAAGCAAAATGCTAAGCCTTAAAGTTAAAAGAAGGTTCTGGCTTAAGTCTTGCAGGCCCTTTAAGAGTCTCTTAAGTCTTTGAGCAACTGATGACCATCAGTATAGAACAGTGAAAGGTGAGCTTGTTTGCTTATTCCTTGTATTGAAAACTCAAGTTTTGAGCCTTCCTTTTGATACCTCTTAAATTCAGTTGAAAAGGAGATATTTGATTCAGTTGAGAAATCTGCATAAATGATGTAAAACTTCATTGTTTCTTCAGATCCAGTTGGTGCTTGATTGCCACCCTGGTGTTCAAGATTAATTGTATGTGTTAAGATTTTGTTTAATTTTCATTTCCTAGGTATGAACACACAATCACCATCTTTTGGGCTGCTTTTATATTTTGTCAGAGATTTAAATTTCTAATCATTTTGCTACTGAAACTGAATTGTCTTGTTTGAAAAGCAGTTTTCTCTTCAGTTGTATGTTGCAGAGATGTTCTGAGAATGAGGAATGTGGCTGCTTAAGACCAGGTGTAGTTTTGAGGCATATTTTGAAGGACATGAGATAAGAATGGAATGGGTGGGTTTAGCTGAGCGTACAAATGTTTCATTTTCGCATGCAAATATGGTCATGCTTTAGGAGTGCTGAAGAGTGGGGTTTTGCTCTGTTTCTCTGCAGGTGAGAAGTAAATATGAGCTTGGCAACACACGACCATCAGTGCCAGGACCCTGTGATCTGAACTGTGTCTTCAGCTGACTTCCCAGCGGCCAGGCGCTGTTGATCCTGTACCATGGAGGACTGCCTTCACACCTCCTCCGAAAACCTCTCCAAGCTGGTGAGCTGGGCCCACAGCCATGGGACCATCTGCAGCCTCATCCCCAACCTCAAGCACCTGCTTTCCGAGGGGGCCCATGGCAACCTGACAGCCATGTGGGGCTGTAGTGCTGGCCATGCCTACCACTGGCCCCTGGCCGCCACTTGCCGGGCTGGTTCCCAGGAGCGTGTCTGCTTCCAGGACAGCCGCAGCTTCAACTCAGACAGCCCCAGCATGCTGGGGGTGCCATCAGAGGCTCAGGCCAGCCCCCTGGAGCGCTACCCAGGCCGGCCAGGGAAAGCCAAGCTGGATTGCACCCGCACTCGTGACTCCTGCGATTTCTCCTACTGCAGTGAGCCGTCAGACCTGGGCGAGCCTGTGGAGGAGTACGAGGATGAGGCCACCCTCTTTGACATGGTCTGTGAGTCCTCTGTCACTGACGAGGACAGTGACTTTGAGCCACACCCGCACCGTGCTCCCACCGGGCCCCGCAAGCGGCCAGCAGCCGCGGCCCAGGCCCAGGCCCAGGCTGCTGACGAGGGTGGCGGTGACGTGCTCCTCAAGAAGATCAAGCAGGAGCTCCCTGAGGACTACTATATAGTGGCCAACGCAGAGCTGACGGCCGGCGCTGATGGGCCGGCCCTGGCCCTGACACAGATGTCCAAGCCCAAGCCGCAGCCCCCGGCTGGGCCTTCCTGCCTGGCACCCACCAGAACCGTGCCCCAGCCAGCCGCAGGCCCCGAGCCTGACCCGCCGCGCCCTTGCGCCTCCCCGCCTGGCCCGCCCCGCATGGCCGTGCAGCGGCCACCACGGGGACCCCTCGCCTCCCCGGCACGGGGGGCAGGCGGTGGCCCTGTGGCTGCCTTGCAGGTGCCAGCCACCAGCTCCAATGCCATCACCACTGCTGGGAAACCCATCAGCATCCCCCTCTCAGCCCTACAGCTGCCTGGTCAGGAGGAGCCACCAGCAGCTGCTGAGGAGACCCTGCCGTCCATCCCACAGCTGGCCCCGGGTGGTGAGCTGGCCGGCTCGCCCTCGGTGGGTGCCGACCCTGAGGTCAGCTCCAGCCAGCAGCAGCCCCAGGCAGTGCCCACCACCACCCCTGAGGCAGCAGCGCAGCTGATGCCAGGTAGGACACTGGGCGGGAGTAGAGGGGTGGTAGAGGCATTTTGGGGGTGTCCCCCAGGCCTGGCTCAGTGAGGGTACAGCGGGGGTGTATGTGTTGCATTGCATCAGGGTCCTGCTGGCACATAAGTCATTAGGTATGGAAGCCACATACACCTGGAGGAGATTCAGAAACTAAGCACCAACTAAGCACCAGCACCTGAGAAAGTGTACTGCAGCCACAGGCAAAATGGTTTGCAAGGTCCATTATGGGTACAGGTGTGTCATAGGAGAGAGCATGCAGTGACCTTGCTGTGTGCATGGGTCAGGGAGGACATGAACTGGGCCATGCCCCTTGATGAAATAAAAAAAAGGGGTCTCAGCCAGTGTAGCCTAGAGTTGGAGAGTTTCGTGTTTCCTTCACCTTGTCACATGGGTACTCTTGGACCTGGACAGGCAAAGGAGACAGGTTATCAGTACCAGGAAAGAGGTTTTTGCTTCTATAAATCGTTACCTATAAATCAGAGCAGTCTGTGGACACAAGAAGTATCAGTACAACCTTAACCATGAAACTGATAAAACTTTAATCCATAATAAAATGGGTTTTTTCCATTTTCCCAGTGAAAGTTCTCATACACTGTGTCCATAATTTTTCTCATCTCCTGCCAAAGCACATAGAATTGGCATAAGCAGATCAACATTATTGGATAAAGAGCATGTTAAAACAGCTGACTTCTGCTGAGTGATTATCCCATGTGGAGAATATCTGTTAGCTACAGGTCTTCAGTCTGTTTCTTGAGCGACTTGTCAGCTTCCTCTGGGCCTGAGCACAGACAGTTCTCACTCTTCCAGCTTCTTCTTTAGTGGTGCCATCCCAGGAGGAGACAAGGCAAGAGCAAGTTCTCCATCTGTGCCCTTGGACTGCCTGGTCAAACAGAGTACAGACAAACAGTAAATGGGCTAAAAACTGCCTATATGTAGTCCTTGTAGCAGGTACTGCAAGAGCTAAAACCCATGACTTTAGCTTGAACATCCTGAAATCTGATTGAAGACTACTAAATCTTGCAACTGGTAAGAGCCTGCAGATCTTCTTGCCAGGTAAAACAACAGACAAAGTTAAATACAGTTTTACTAAGTAAAACCCTACTAAACATTAGAAATTTGGAAGGATGATAATTGTCTTAAAGCAAAATAAATTCTTCTTTAGGACCCATTTCTTGCATGACTGAATCTCTCAGAGGTTACTTTGCAGTAGTCCTGTCATGTAACATACCTCATGGAAATTCCCTTGCAAAACTCCATCTGGTTTAGAACCAACTCTGCACTGCTAAATATGAGAAAGGCAGGATGCCTGATGCCACTCAACCCAAATTGTGTGTTAAATGTACTTATTCTGCTTTTTTCAGTTTGTAACCTATTACTGCTATATGTAGACCTGGTTTCTACCTGCCTCCCCTGCAACTTGCTCAAGTCTCAAACTTGCAATTTGGGACAATGGAAGACAAACCTAAGCAGAATTTTTCCATGTTAAATGTGTGTTATCTGGGAGAGATATTTCAACAGATCCATTAAAAAATCCAAGCTGCTTTCAACTGTTTTTGCCAGGTCCTCAGAAGCTAAACAAGGTCAGCAGTTGTTACTGTTTAGAGTTAAACTTTACAAGAATGGAGGCAGCACAACACTTCTGCATTTATATCGTTTCAAAAACAGGATTGGTCTATGTCTAGTGTCTAACTTTGAGGGCAAAATGGGAATGCACCTGGATTACTCCCACTGCCTAAATCAACCCTCAGAACCTCCAAGTGCTTTACTTTTTGCACAGACAGTGATGGGTTCTCAGAGTGCTGTCCAAATTCCAGTTTATTCAGTTATGTTCTCAGTGGTTAAATTTCTTGTGCTGTTTCAAAAAATCATTACACAATTCTTCTCCTCAGACTGGTCCAGTGTTGGTGTCACATGCTGTTATTTTACTCAGAGGTAGTGGCATTTTAATGAAGATAAACTGATTGAGATATGACTAAAACTTGATACGTGAGTAAAGTCCCACATTTCCATAGAGCCTTCTCCTTCGGGAAAGAAGAGCTGGCATTATTAAATGTTCAAGTTGCAAGAAGATGGGCAATGTTGGAAATTGAATTTATTACAGATGCACAGCATATTCTTGCAGGTAAATGTAGGGGTTTGATTAAAGACTAGATGCTCATTTACAGTGTTTTTGTTAGATTGTCTCCTAATGAAGTGATCTACTGAAAGGGCATGATTTATAAAATTTGAGCAATATTGAACTACGAGAGGATGTTTATCTATTCTGTGTTAAAATTTTCTGTCCTAAACAGACAGATGTGAGTCTTTTACATTCTGGTGTAAAAAAAAGGCAGTAACTAAGTAAAAAAAAGGTCAAAAAGGTCAAAAAGTCTAGAGCTTTTATTAATTTATAGACTCAGTGCCTGCTTAACTAAACAAAGTTGAAAGAGAGCAGGGAATTTAAATTCTGCCTTGTCATCTCCAATATCTGAAGCCTTGCTTCTGGTCCCATTAAAACTGTTGGTGTAAGGTCTAAGATCTACAGGACTAAGGCCTTATTTAAGTTATCATTAAAGGCTGCAATCCAACCAGCAAGAAATACTACTTGAGCTTTAGCTTACGTGACACATCCTTGCTTTTATATCAGAGACAGCTGACAGTAATCCCATAGATGGTGAAAGTCAATTAGTGACATTTGGATGTCTGAAATGAGGAATGGAAATGATTTGGTGTTATTGCAGAAGGCTATGGAAAGAGACTGTGGCTCAGAGAAGGACAGAGTTTATTTTGAATGAACACAAGTTTTGATTCTGAGAGACGTAGGATTTACTTTGTAAACAGAATTGCTGAAGAGTTTGTGAAGAATGCTGAATTTCCACTTGAAGACTGAGGCTGAAGATATGTTTTGTATTAACAAGACAGTGCAGCAGGACATTTCTGATTCAACTATAGTGCATCACTATAAATACAGGAGCAAAGAGTCCCATGATAAAAAAAAGATATCCAACCCCTATGTACAAACTGTGCTGAATGCAGAGTAGTAAGCAGAGATGCAAAATAAAAAATCATTTGAAGTATTGACTGTATTGACTGGAGTTGTTGCTTCTGTCAGAGATGTAGCAGATTACATTCTGTGTGTACCATCACAATGCCTTCATGTAGATCCATCAGTGAATCGCCTGACTGCTTGTTTTATGTGTACAGGCATTTTCAGAGTGTGGAAGGGAAAGAGTGTCCACAAGCACTTCTCCTCTCATAGTGCTGCTCACTGTCCTGGCATTGTGGTTATCAAAAGGACCTGTGTTTGAATGTGAGCTGTGATGGATGCTGGTCTGTGCTGAGGGCAGTGCTCAGCCTTCCTGGCTCTGATGTCTCTGCTCTGAGATCCTCTCAATTCTTTCATTTTCTGTAACAGTGTGGATATCCCTTTAGGTTACAGGTGTTCATAAACGTCTGTCTGAACATGACCATTACAAAATGGAGTGCATCTGGGGATGGTGGATATTGAGGTAGAGTGCTTAGTGGAATATTTTAAGTATTTCTCTGTTATCAGAAGAAGTAGGGTCTCTCCCTTTCCTCTCTTCTTTCTGTTTGCAATGCCTGCAATGGTGTGAGTTTAAATTAAATGAGAACCAAGATCCTCATATAAGATTTGTGGATTAGAAGCTGTTGGATGAGCATCAAAACATTACAAAACTTCGAGGTGAAAGGAGTCTCTTCACACCTTATGAACTGACAGTTTTGACTAGATTTAGCTCTAACTTCTTAATCACTGTTTATCTATAAAAAAAAGTGTCAGCCTCGCACATTCCAAAGAAGTGCAAAGAAGAAAAAATAGCACCTTTTTTAGGGGTGTATATAAAGCATACAGAAAGGCAGAATTAATCCTTGTTGTAATTATTTCAAGCCCAGTGGAACCGTGCCAAGTAGCACAAGAAAAATAATCACATCGAAAGAAATTTATAAAACTCTTATTTAAATTATGTTCTTCCAACAACATTAAATAACTGCTGATCTCTGTACTTTTGGTTTACATACAAATGTTGATGAGTTTTGGCTAAAATGACTGCTTGAAGCCTATCTGCAGGGACGTATGCTGCTGAATATGGTCAAGTGACCACTTAAATATATGTAGGGGTGAGACTGTCTCTTCTCTTTGTGTTGTACTAAAGAGATCAGAGTCCACTGGTGACTCTTTAGGTCCCATAATGGAAATCTATTGCTGCTCTAGTCGATGGACTAAAAATAGTAAGTGCTGAGATACATAATTACAAAAAATATAGGTTTGTTTTTGTTTTTTTTTTTTTAGTTGCTAGGGCCTGGCTTATTTAGAAGACTAAAATTACTAATTACATCATTATAAGTATCAGAAAAAAGAAGCTATTGACATGATTAATCACCTGATCTTGCAGCAGTGATTTGCAAGCCCACTCCTGCCTTCAATTACCCTCATCTAAATGCTGTTACATTATAATCTAATGTTTTGGGGTCTGTATTCTAGAAGTCTAGCTAGACATCTTTATTCTAGAAGTCTAGGTAATGATTACTTACCATTCTAATATTACAAGCGAGTTCTGTTTAAAAGCAGGACAGTAGCATAAAGAGGACAAGTTCAGCCTTGGCAGAGTAGTTGTGTAATTGCTTTTATCATCTGGGTGCACAGCATGACAAACAAACTTTTAAAAAAGAAATGAACCTGTAGTACTAGCAACTGTAATACAAGAGTTGTTTATGCAGCTGTTCCTACAGCTGTTCTGTTTGCAGAAGAACACAGAAATGAAAATTCATCAATTATTACAATATCTTTAGATTTTCGCTGTGCTTAAGAAATGTATCAATTACCTTTCAGGACTTCCCATTTATTTTCTTTAGTGAAGATTCCTTTCAGATGCAGAAAGCTCATGCCAGCCTTTTTGTATAATCAGCAATGGACTTTGTCATGTAGAGGTTGTCCCTAATACGAAGTGTTTATCACAAACCTGTACATGCAAAAGATTAGGA